TAAGGGGTTTCGCTTTGCAGGTATCATAACTGGATGGGCTCCCCTTCACCAGCAAGAGAGGGCTCCGATCCCACAGGCTATTTGCGTGTTTATTTGCCGGCCAACCAGTTGCGTATGGTTGCCAAATTCCGTCTTTGTTGTTGGCCTTTGGAGGTCAACAAAGGACACCATAGGCCGAGAGAGTGCCGTACGTGTCAGGTCTGTACGTCGGGTAAGGTTGAGGATGAATACCATGTGCTCATGGAGTGTGAGGCGTATACTGAGTTGCGTAATAGGTTTCTGATTAACGTTGAAGATACTGATATGCGCAAGGTATTTCTTAATACCAATCCGAGGAAAATCGCTACTTTCCTTACTGAGGTTTTTGATGAGCGTCAACAGCGTGCTCTGGAGCCTCACGGCTCGTGAGGGCACCCGCCGCGTCGGCGGCGGAAATACTGTAACCACAATACATATGCGGTCAGTGGTAAGTGCGAGGAGCCCGACTATGGTTTCGCTTTATCGCGAGCTGTCACAAAGGCCGCTCCAGTTCCATTGGGCCAATCTCGTGCTAAGGTTCTGGAACACTGTTGTCAAGAGGCCGGGGACGCTGTGCCACCGGGCCTTCATTGCCGACCTTGAGCTGGCTCTGGGGGGTGTTACAGAGTGCTGGATGGGCAAGGTCCTAGTTTGGGTGCTGAGCCCCCAGCCGGCCTGCGAGGTGACGACCTCATAGCGCATTACGCCACCGTTAGGTTGCCAGTGGGAAGCTTACTCAAAGAGTTCGCTAGGCGGCTCGACGCCCGGTGGGAGTGCCTGGATACCCTAGGCGACCCACGCGCCTTCCCAAGTGGAAGTACAGGCGTCAAGGCATGTCGCTATTTGAATTGGATGGGGGCGCCCCCCCTTAGGGGTACGCGGCATAAGTGGTTGCCCCACGCTAAAACGCCATGCCCCAACGTTTGCATCAAATGCTTATGCGTTTCCGGTTAGGCTGTTGGGAGTTAGAGATTAACTGACCTAACGGCCGTGAGCGCACAGCACGCACCTGCAGGCTTTGTGACTGCGGGGCGGTTGAAGACGAAATGCATGTCTTTGTGGAATGCCCGGCGTACACTAGTACACGGGCTAAGTACGAACGTGACCTCGCGTTTCAAACTAACCGCACTAAAATAAAAACGATTTACCGTCCATAATCCCCCCGGCTTTTACGGTCACCCCCGCACTTGTGCGGAACTTGTAACTTGTAAGTAGCTGCGTGGCGGGGAGGGTCGGGGGATAGAGGTGTGGGGTTGGGGAGAAGAAATTATTTAGGGATGGGGTGGGTGGGGTCCAGATTATACGAGAACGCAAAGGATTAGCTGCACAAGTGCGTGCAATGCACTATTATATCTGCCGGCGGCAAGGGGGAGGATGGAAATGGGGCAGAAGAACGCATGTGGGTGTGCCGGTGCCGATTAGGAGGTGCGGAGCGGGACTGGGATAGGCAGGTAGGAGTGGTTTGCAGGGCCACGGCGCACAATACACAGCTTGTGTACATACACACCTACTTGCGAGCTGACCAGGAACTAAGTTGATGCGCCGTTGATCCGCTAGATTTGGTTGGATGCTGGTGGTGAGTTGCCGAACCCAACGAATACATTCTGAAGTCGGATGGGGTGAAAATGGATTAGGGTGCCCCTTTAGCAGGGGAGAGAGCAGGGAATTGCCTCGGGAAAAGTGGGCCGCTGGCGAAGTTAACCACCCTGTAACAACATACACCTACAGACACACGCACATACGTATGCACATACATAGGCACATACATACGCACATACATACGCACATACATAACATTCCGTGGGAAAGGATAAACCCAAGTGCAGCTCTCTCTTCCCCCTCCTCATCACCCTCTCCTTCCCCCTCCCACCCCTTCACCTCTCGCCCGGCACTCAGCGAACTTCGCCTACCAAGCCAACCCGCTCAACGAGGGGGGTCTGAAGCCAACCTTCCTACCACACCTTTCCTCCGCGATCCCCTCTGCCGCCTCCCCCACTCACCTGCGAAACTTCTCGTACCGCACGGCCTCAATTTGAGCCACGTGTGCGCAGCTGGCCATGGGTCGTGTGTGCGCGGCGACGGGGTGAATGGTTTGCAGCTGCGCAGATCCGAAACGAGCGGCGGCACACTGTTAGCTGGTTTGCCCAGCCACGTCTGTCGGGACCTATAGGGGTTCCATGGTCACGGTGCTGTAGCGGTACCGTATTCGTCCGCCTGGAGCTAGGTGGCTCCCAAAGGCCCCAATTTTAACCGGAAAATTGCCGCTGCCTGCGGCCTTGATGTGTGGAACAGAGGGGTATATCTTCGCCCGTGGCAGCTACCCAGCGAAACCCTGCCTTCCCCAGTATTACGGGGCACCCTCATCCAGTCACCCTAGTCAACTTCTCAGTGGATCGCTCAGGTTCCGCACCCACCGCCAACATCCAACGGAATCTGCCGGATCGACGATGGCCTAACTCCATTCCGGGTCGGCTCCCAGGTTAACTTTATCCCAGGTCACCACCGTCCATCAACTAGGGGCACTTTACCTTCCGATGGAAGGATTTTCGACCCTGACAGATCTCGATCCCGGGATCTCCCGGGGGCAATAGTCGCGCCTTACCAGTAGTGCCTATCCTAGCTTGATGCAGTTGTTACCCCTGCCGTATGTAGGCGTGGGAGCTTCCTGAAACCAGTTCCCTTGTCGGGCTTACCCCCACTGGTGGGGTAATAACGGTGCCAAGGACGACCTCAGGGATGAGTCGGCCGGGCTTGCGGATTTCCGCGTATAATATACGCTTATTGTGTATGATTGGTTCGGAGGAAACGTCTGCTCCTTGCCACGGCCCTGGAAGTCGCGATTGCTGCGAAGCACGGCACCTAGCGCTGCGCCTTGAGCACATCTGGTACCATAATAGTGCGCCTTACAGTGGACCCGAACGGGTCCTCAATGCAAAAACCCATCAACAATATAAGAAGCTTGCTGCCACGTATCAGGCAACTAGCCGCAGCAGTTGTAGGAAATAAACTTAAGAAACGCAAGCGGCGCGGACTTATGGCACCGTACAATGATAATTGGCAAAGACGAGTACCTTCCATACCGAGGTTGGCTCGCTCACGACGAACGACGGCCTGGCGGTTATTACCGGTACGCCAGCTGCAGTTCCATATGTTAATTCTCACTCGGGATGGGGTCAATCAGCGCGAGAGCGATAATTCTAAATGTGCTACCGGACCCTAAGCATCAATACGAATACACATTACACCCTGTCAACAATGAATGTCCCAGAAACATGACTAGGTGTAGAATCAGGCACGCGCAGATGAAGCGAGCCTCACAAGCCGAGAGAGGTGCCGCTGTTCGCACATCGTGGCAGTCAACGATGGGCGCAAATCATTGTTCCGACGAGGGCTTGACAGCATACGTCATATAGCCGTCCGGCAAAATCCGGTGGGCTCAGCCTTGGGACAAGCACTACCCATTGCGCGTCATCGAGGTACTACTCCTTGCTAACGTTCACATGGAAGTGCGCTTACAGCATTTGCTGCTTGTAATGCACTTTCCTCTAGGCTGCACGCCGACAAAGCAGATTGCGCAGCGCCAAAACTAATCAACCGTCATAGACCAAGTCCCCAACATGGTGAGGCAGAGCCAATAGAGCCGTCTCTAAGTGCTTGTGACGCACGTATTGCACACGCAAGCATTCTGGGCCAGCCACGTAACAACATGTGGTCTGACACCGGAATTCCCTAAAACCGGAAAGCCAACACCTGCATTCTAGCCTATACTTTTTCAAGTGCATCAACCTATCAGCCACACCGGACACCGCCTACAGGCACTACATGCGCAAACTCTTGCAGACAAAGACAACACAGCGTTTGCGCGAGGCTGCCCTTTGAGAAAGCGCGTAGCAAACGGCTCTACACGGGCACCGCATTGCCGCGACACGTAACCTGCATGTTCTGTATATAGCGTTGCAGCTCTGGAAAATAGCAGCAAAAGCAACAAACCCACCTCAACCCGTTCGGTCATATTCAGCGGCCGATGACGCTCCAATCAACTGCACACCACATTACTAACGAACTCGTCCCGCCCTCAGAAAGAGCAGCTGCGAGACGTACCATGCAAAATGTCAGTACACGCCACCCCTGGGACGCTCCAGCCCCATCTTCCCTGCACGCGCCGCACCAGTCAGGTTACACGTAGCCGTATCACCAAGAAACCCGCATTCAAACAGATCACTGAGACAACGGCAGCGGTGATTGGTGCGCCTGTGACTGGCCGCCGGTAGAGGCCAACGGGTTAAGAAGCGACGATTTAAGGAGCTGCTCCGCCGTAGGGCGCTGGGCCGGGTCTGGCGCCATCATCTTCTGCAGACACCAGTAGCAGGGAAATAACAACTTAGTTGTAAGCTGCCCTTTTTAAGCCGAAATCTACAGTAAGACCTTCAAACGCAATCGACCGTCCAAAACTTAACGGAGCCACATTCCCAAGCCACTTACTTTTAGCAGCCCGACCAAGCGCTGGTTGCTGCCGGGCAGGAAAATCTTGCCCGCACGAATGTCGTGGTACGGCTGCCCGTTCTTGGGTAACTCACTGCCCCGGAGAAGCTCGTAAGCCGAGGCCCCCAGCGCAAAGATGTCTAGGCGGTCCGCAAGGCCGCTGTTTAGGAAATCCCGGCTCTTGAGGGCCTCGGGTGCCAAATACCTAACGCCACGTCCAGGATCCCAGGGGCGAACCGAGTCGTTGTTTGGAGAATACGAGTCAATGCTCAAAGACCCTAAGTCACCAAACAAGCTGGGGCCACATTCGACCGCAACGTTCTTATGGCAAGGGGGAACAACCCAGGTTCACATGCGGCTTGAGAATGGCGAGGAGATTGACAGCACGCGCTGATTGCTCACTTGGAGTCGCCCTCCGACGTGCCCGCCCGCTGTCCACCCTGCATAATGGCCAGCCCGAAATCGCCCAGCTTGTAGACATTTCCGGTACTGCTGCTGCAGGCTGTGGGGCTACCTCCGCGAGCGGGTACCAATGCTACGTAAATGTTGTCTGGCTTGACGTCCAGGTGGACCATACCTAGCTCATGAATTCGCTTCAGCGCGGAAGCAATCTGTTTGCAGGACAGAAAAAAAAGGGAAATACCAGCGCGCTTAAGCACACGGACTGCGTGCATCTACGAGCATCTACGAGCGCAGATATGCGCAACTTCTGCTGAACCCCGGGGCCCCGTTGTTGCAAATGATGCTAGGCCACGCGTTTCCGGGTTCAAGTCGTCCATGATTCGCCGCACCTGCCGCAACATGTCCAATACATCCTGCTCCTTCAGCTGTGCGCGTCGCTTGAACACGCCGCCAAGGCTATCCCCACATAGCTCCAGCTTGAGGAACGCCTGCTCCGCGTCCCCACGCACGTCCGGCTCAAACCAAGAATCGTACAATCCGACGATGTGTGGATGATGCTGCACGGCGGCGAGAGCTTGCATCTCCTGCAGTTTTCATTGAAGAACGAGCGGCGTGATCGGACATCAGCATTTCTATAAACGACAACCCTGAACTGTCCCCCATTTCCTTACTCACATTGAGCCACATGTTGCGTGCCTGGAGTGTCGTGATCGGACTTCGGTTCGTTTTCACTGCGAACGGAACGCCCGTCAGCCGGTGCACGGCGCGGTAGACCTTACTGAAGTTGCCATGCCCAAGCTCAGCCTCCTGGTGATAATCCCACCTACGCGAAAACCAGCGTGGGCGCCTTTAGCCACCAGCCCCACCGTAAGCGCACACTTCCCCCTTGCAGAGTATAAGATAGAAGCAAGAGAACTGGATCTTGCTGCTCCAACTTACAGGAAGCGGCTATAGTTCCCCCGGTTTAAACACGATTGAGATGCTTGGAACACGTGACTGTCGTCATCCGCCCGTACGAGGTACGGGTTCCGCGGCATGGGCGGCTGAATCTCGCGCAGCTTCGGAATCGGGGGCCGCCCTGCGTGGCGCAGGCACCCATAAGTCAAACCCCCCACGCGCCAAGCCAAACAAGCTTACCAAATATGTGCGAGCTGGTGCTTGTGCAAGGTACCATGCTTCCAGGAGTAAGAGCTGTCTGCAGCTCGCTGCGCTATGGCTACTCACCGGAGAGGGCCTTGCTGCACGTGCTGGGTTCGCCTGCAGAACGGCTTTGGCTGAGGCTCTGGCTGCTGCACTCCTCATCACCACAACCTATGCAGTTGCAGGAATGTTATCCAAGTCTGGGTTTTAGTTTATTCAGTGGGATGACGACTGGGGCTACTTGCGTGGAAACCATGAACCAGGTCAGCCCGATATCACACACCTGATGGGACGACCTTCAGCGGTCGTGGGCGCTTTTGAGCACGAGGCGATGGCAGAGGCGATCTGCTAACTTCATCATCGAGCTGCATAGAAGATGGCTCATAGTCCATTCGGAACAACTGCTCTTGTGGTGTAAGATAGTCGGGTGTGCTGCAGCCCAGAAAACACGAATAACTTATTGTAAGAAATGAAATGCAAGAATGCAAGCGCTTGACAAGTGGGCCCCCCCTGGCTGCGCCGCGTACTGATACGAGCACAACTTACTATTGCATCTCCTGACTGGGCTGGCTGCTAAGGTCAAGTGCACGTGGCCTAATTGATCTCATGTGCGGACGCGGCTCCTGGGAAAGCGACTGCGGCTGATCCTGGAGATTCATATGGCGCATTGATAACTGCAAGGAATTGGTGCTCTCCGAGCATTGCTGTGCCAGCTTCTGCTTATTGTAGTAATTGAAAAGGTTTGCACTAGAAGGCTTCATGGACGCTGTTGCCATATCTCTGCCAAAGTCGAATTCCTGAGCGCGTTCACAACTATTTCCCAGGTCCTGTAGTAGAATATAGTCTAAAAACACCGCGTAATGCAGCCTAGAAAATTTTAAGTTTCTGGACTGTTCCAAGTGACAGGTGTGAAGCTTTTTGTACTAGACTTACAAGAGCCCAAGGGGTCAAGCAAGCAGAAAGAATTAGTAGCGAAAGGTATAAAGAGAGAGCGGATACCCTAAGAATTATGCAGGCGAGTTTCGGGTTTCCCAAGCAGGGTCGGACTTGCGTGACGTCCTTCAGTAGAGATGGATCCAGGTCAAACTTGCGGCATGCATGCTGTGGTAGCGTTGACTATGCGAAGCTGGCCGGCATCTAATTCTCTGACTCCTAGCCGCGGCCTCAGAAAGCCTGTTACTCTATCGTGGATTGGACAAGCTGAAATGCGCGCATTAGCCCGTACCCACAATATGAAGGGCAAGCCTGAAACCTCAAACACATCCCTTACCACCATGCGGACATCGGGCAAGCTTAACCTACTGGTAAAATGACCTTCCACACGTTCATCTTGAGAAAACGTTCCTTCACTTTCTCTTAGTCCAAAGTGCCCTGCTCGTCGGCCTGAGGCCAGATTACGCAGTGACTCCACGAGCGTGCAAAGGTTCACGCAAATTATTGTAATCTCTAAAATTTTTGCTTTGGGATGGAGTAGGCATGCATTCCTTGTTCCGGAGCTCCAACAAGGGCTACAGTTCATGACACAACTTTTCCTCAATAGCGTTTACCCTAGTCATGTACAAAGGCATAGAAGTTGTTATGCTGTTTTCCGGCCACAAGCATTCTTGTCAGACTGGCTGGACTGACCCGGATTCAATAATAGGAAAATTTTCACGGATTATCTATAGCCTAAGCTTTTACCTAACCTTTTCAACCTTTTTTTACCTAACCTTATAGCCTAACCTTTTCAGTTATACTTTCTGACTCACCGGCTAGCAGTGCGTCTCGTTTCCGGCCGCGCTAGTTGATGGCCCTAACACCAGGGCCGGCGGTGCCCATTGACCCTGCGACGTGCCGCGACGGTCGTGACCTTGAAAATGGGAGGGACTTGGAGGTGCAGCCGCTGGTTCAGCATTTCTCATACGACCCGAATTCCAGGTGGCACCGCTTCAAGCAGGCCATTATTGAGCCACCTAAATCGACAGTAAGCATATATGCGGACATCCCGTTTAACCATGCGGAGTGGAAGCTTCATCGTAACGCAGCGTGGCGACATCGGCCCCAGCCCATCCTGTTGTGAGTACACACTGACACACCATTTTGGCAGGCGCGTTGCTGCTCCCGTCTCAGCAGTACACAATCCGTTACAGCATGCCTCCACAAAATGCTTATGCGAGTCCCATGCGGTAAACAACCCGCCCATGCCCCGCCCAGCAACATTTTTTCTCTCTCCTTACGCCATCCTTTCCTCCCCAACTCCCCCAACTCCACACGCACACGCGCAGTATGCGTGTGGCCGGCGGATTCTGGTGGCAGCTCACCTACACATTTATAGTCTCACTCGCCGTGGGCATCTACCATCACCAAATTAAGGTCAGCCGAATGACGGACGCAGCTAACCCCTAATCCATACCCACCCTCCCTATCATGCCGCATTAAAAAGTATCCTACTTGATGTGGGTCAGCGTTGGATAACGATTACCTCTCCAATATAACTCCTGCCATGTACCATAACCTCACACGCACTGTCTACGTTCACCCCAATCCCACCGCACTTAGGACGCTGGGCAGGTCATTTATGTGTTCCTTGCCTATGACCCTCCCCCCGCTGGCTGCACAGGATGTGAGCACTGCGGCCTCTAAGCTCGCCGTGCCCTTCAACCTGACCACCTTCGCGTTATCGCTACTGCTGGTCTTCCGTACGAACTCCAGCTACAGCCGGTGGTGGGAGGCTCGCCAGGTGTGGGGCGCTGTAGTCAACCTGTCCAGAAACTTCGCACGACAGGTATATACGGGGCGCGGATACTTTCTGGGGTGCTCTTACTCTGCTGATGCTGTTACGATCTGGGTGGAAAGCGGGGTAGGCTTTGAGATGGGCTATGTTGGTGACCTTTTACTTCCTTGAACTTGATTCCCGATTGATCTGATTTCCCACAACTCCTCAACCAACCCCCACCCAACCCTGCCGAGCGCGCAGAGCATGTTGTGGCTGCCTCCTCGTCAAGCCCGTGTGGCGGTTCGCTGGATGATGGCCGCTCCCTTCCTGCTCAAGTGCCATCTGCGGTTCAATGCCTCGGTTCGGGAGAACGTGTCTCACATATTGCTGCCCGCGGTGAGCGCGAATGACAGACAGACGGACAGACGGACGGACGGACAGAGGGACGTAGGGGGTCCCAGGCGCGGAAGATCAGAGTTGCCCGTGATGATGTGAGAAGAAACACATTCAATCCCAGGCCGAAACCCAAAAAAATTCCCCCTTCCTTCCCTCCCCCTTCTTAAACCCTGTCACCCCCCCTTCCCTCTACAGGTCTGTCTAGGGAATACATCTTGTGCGATATTTCTCTTCTCAACCTCCCACTATCCCCTTCCCCTCTTGGCGCCCTGCAGCCCCGCTTTGGACTCGGTCGGAAGTTTGCCAGGTCAGACGTCGGCAGTCATTTTCCCTTCTTGACGTAGTGTTAATTATTCCCGCGCCCCACCCCCCTCCCGTCAGGAGCTGGACTGGGTTCTGGGTTGGACCCACCGCCCCAACGCCGCCGCTCACGTGCTGTCCACTTCGGTGTCTGACGGCCGCCTGGACAGCAACCGCGAAAAGCTGCTGATGGAGCTGGTGGACACGTACATCGACTGTGTGGGGAAGTGTGAGAGGATTTTCAAGACGCCCATTCCCGCGGCGTACACGCGGTAGGTCGAGGGGGTGTGGAGGAAGGGGGCGGCGGGTGGAGGAAGGGGGGACGCGGGTGGAGAGGGAGGTGTGTCGAGGGGATGTGGAGGGGATGGGTGGGGAGCGGGATGGAGGGAAGGAGTCGATGGGAAGGTTAAGGATGTAACTGCGACACGTCCAGAACATCAATTGCCATGGTACAGGAGGAGGGATGAAAGGGAATTGGTTTGGGTTGCGTGAATTGGGTTTTATGAGGCGTCATTGGCTGGTGACGCTGGGTTGGGTGGCTAGGTGGGTGAGTGAGTGGGCTGCCAGCCATCTTTAAGCATCTTCCTCTCTTTCCCCCCCCCCCCGTGCCGGGGGCTTATCAGCTTCATTCGTCTGTGGTTCGTCTAACCCCCCGTGCCGCCGTCGCTGCCGGCCCCGTCTCCGCGATGACCTGCACACATATGATGTCAATCCCAATCATACACCCGTTTTGGGCGCCTTGGACGTCAGAAGTCATCTCTTTGCTGCTTGCATCATCATCATCGTCATCGTGTGATTTTTCTTTTCCCCTCCTCCGCCCTCCCCCTTTCCCCGCGCTGCTCAGCCACACGTCACGCTACCTGATGATCTACCTGACTGCGTGTCCTCTGGTGCTGTGGCCTAGCTTGGGGTGAGAGGCTGGGGGGGAAAGACGAACCGCGAGGGGGTGAAGCTGAGTGAGGCTGGGGGGAAAGACGAACCGCGAGGGAGTGAAGCTGAGTGAGGCTGGGGGGGAGGGGGGGCCACGGAGATTGGATGCTGGGGTTGGATGCTAGAGAGAGGAGGAGAAGAGAACATTGGGCAGGAGGAATGGGGACGGAGAGGGAGAAGGAGGGGTTGCGGAAGACATGGCGGGGGGTGGGAAAATTGCGCGATCCTTGATTTGTGTGTACAGATACTGCGCTGGGGGATGCCGGGGGGAGAGAGGGGAAGAGGGGAAAGGATCTGTCGCCGTGGTGGTGGTGGTGGTGGTGGTGGTGGTGGTGTGTATGGGAAGGCAGGAAAGCCCTTGGCGTTCAGCAGGAGGAGGGCATGTGTGGCGGTTCGCGGCTTGTGCATCGCGTCATTAATGGTCTCGTCCTTTCCTTTCCAAATCTAATCTAGCAGGAATAACCGCAACCAACCGTCCAACCAACGATATAACCGTAACCAACTCCCATATAAATATCAACAATCTTAATAATCAACTCACCCTCTGTTGACAGCTGGTGGACGCTGGTGGCTTCCGTACTCATTAGCTTTTTGTTGCTGGGCACCGAGAACATCGGCGTGCAGGTAGGCGCTGGGGAGGGGTTGGGGAGGGGGCACTGGGACGGGTCGTTTAGAATGCGGGCATTGGGAGGTCTTGGGGTTTTAGGGTTGTCTTCCATGTACCTCTGGTAAATCGCGTCCCTCCCCCTGTTCCCCACTGCCCTGCCAGCCTCCCCCCGCCCCCACTCACCTACAACCCCCATTACAAACAACGTTTGCTGATATACATACATACATACGTACATGCATACATACAAACACAGATTGAGGAGCCCTTCCGAGTCCTTCCCTTGGACGACATGTGCAGGTGCGAACACAAAGGGGGGGAAGAGGGGAGGCAGGAGGGGGGGAAAATGTTGATCGGAGGTGTCAAGGTCTTCCTGAATCATTCAAACCGCAAATCCTTAGAGCCAGAAGAAACCCATGCTGGTGGAAACACGAAACCGCTTAAACCGCTAAACAGTGAATGTAAACCGTTAAAAACCGTTGGGAATTCGTTGGAAACCGCGTCAGGGGCATCGAGGCCACGCTTCGCGAAATGGAGCGGCAGCACAACCGCCTGGGTGAGCAGTTCAACTCTTGGATGGCTGACCCAGCGGGTCTGTCCCGCTCCGCTTCGGAATCCTCCCTGGACTCTTTCATCGACGGCCCGGCTGACGGCCCCTCCGAGCCCGCCGCCCTGGACCGCTTCCATCACATCCCGCCGCCGGCGCGCCTCACCGCCGCCGCTCAGGCGTTACTCGTGCGGCGACCCTCCCTGAAGTCTTCTGGCGGCGCCGGTGGTAGCTCTGAAGAGCAGACGCATCACAGCACGGGGCCTGGCAGCAGTAGCCTGATCGGCGGGCTGCTGCATCA